CTTCCGCCACTTCCTTCTGCCACTTCCTTCCTTCCTGCCTTCCTTCCTGCCTGCCTGCCTTCCTCCCTCCCTCCCTCCCTCCATCTCAGAGCTCTGTCAAATTTCTGATTTTCTATCCTGTGATTTTCAATGTTACTACATGCATGCTGTAAAAAAGAGACTATCTCACCATGCTTCCCTTTTTATCATCTGGTCTCTGTGCTTTTCTTTTACATCCCTGCCTCATTTTCTCTCTCCTTCTGGTCTGCTTTCTCTTGTATCTTATAGGCTTCGTGGTATGGAAATTACTTCTGAAATACTCAGTGCTATTTTATTTACAGCATCCCTGCTTACACAATCCAGTACTGAATGCCAGAGACAGCAGTGCCAGGCCTGGTTAATGCTAAACACCCCGAACTTCATCTATTTCCTAAACCTTTGTTCTGGTGGGGAGGGAGCATTAACAAGAAGGCACTGCAAGCTCACAGGTGGGATTTTGCTGCCTGTGTTATTCTGCCAAGCATGCAAGGGGGATACCTTTGAACAGGGATACGACGACTTTCCCAAAAAACCTGACTGCTCCAATGCAGTCTGCCAGCAGGGCAGAAGCCTGCTGCTGCAGCACCTGCTGCTGGGCAGGAGCAGCCCAAGCCTGGGGCTCCCTGCAGAAATGCAGGCACTCCATGAGCAGCCTGGGAGCAGCGAGCTGGAGTCCTGGCTGAGAGGGACCTGCCTTGGACAGCCAGCACACACAGAGCAGAGCACAGCACTGCCAGGGCTGTCTGTGGCAGGGAGGGCACCCTAGAAAAGCGGGCTCAGGGCAGCAGCCCACCAGGGCATTTCCCTCCTTCCTCCACTAGTCTTGTGCTTCGGGGACCTATGCAATTGCTTTTGGGGAAATTTCTGATGAGCAAGTGTTTCACCCCCAGTGCAATTTAGCAGCAATTGATAAAGGCAAAGCCATTATCAGGAGACTGCAGGCATGCACAAGCAGTTCCATGGCCACATAACTATGTGATAAACCTTTTTTCCCTGCTTTGGTCTACATACACATACGGAGATTACTGTTCATAATAATTTGTCCAAATCCCCCCCAAAACCAGCTGTTTCTTTATGATAACTGAACATCTTAATGTCACCTCTCAGCAAAAGCAACCTAACTGAAGCCTTGCAGACAACTGCTCTCCACCGGTATGAAGCTGATAGGAAAAGAAAACCTTATGTGTATGCAGTTGAGATAGATTTTTTTTTTCTGTCTTTAGATTTTTTTTAGTTTTTGTTCAGTGATTCAGAGTTACAGACTCTTTAATGGATAACTGGTCATATTTTTAAAACTTGGAGAAGACTTGGGTTCAACTTTGCTGCTGAGATCTCTGAGCTAGCTGTTGAATTCTGTTGAATTTATCTGGGCAGGCTGGCTTGATGGGCTGAGGCTCAATAAGGCCAATGCTGGGTCCTGTATTTTGGCCACAGCAGCCCCGGGCAGTGACACAGGCCTAGGGAAGAGTGGCTGCAAAGTGGCCCAGCAGAAAACACCTGGGGTGCTGGTCAGCAGCAGCTGAACTTGAGCCAGAGTGTGCCCAGGGGCCAAGAAGGCCAATGGCATCCTGGCCTGGATCAGCAACAGTGTGGCCAGCAGGACAGGGCAGGGATTGTCCCCTCATACTCAGCACTTGCGTGGCTTTATTCCTCAAATCCTGTGTCCAGTTCTGGGCCCCTCACTACAAGAAGGACATTGAGTTGCTGGAGCATGTCCAGAGAAGGGCAGTGGAGCTGGTAAAGACTCTGGAACACAACTCAGGAGCAGCTGAGGGAGATGGAGTGTTTAGCCTATACAAAAGGAGGCTCAGAGGGGATTGTATCACTCTCTACAACTGCCTGAAGGGAGAAGTTAACAGAGAACTAAGGGCAAGCATGGACAGTGATGCTCTCATAAGAGCAGTGCCACATCACTGATTTTGGTCCAGATTTACACCACTAGAGCCAATAATGTAACAAGTAAAATGTACAGAGGCAATGATCCTCCACAGAAAACACTGCTGCACTGCTGCAGCTTCTTCTAGCTCTTCCTCACAACTAACCTCCTTCCTAAGTTGTACAGTTGAAATTTCCCATTAAAATCTTTTGGAGCAGAATTAGTGAGTTGAATTTTGACTTGCAGTGCAGTGTTATGCAGCATGAAGTCCTGGGCATAGTCCAGCACATTTAGTGATGGATCTTGTTTGTGACAAGGCGGGTTTATTTGGTGTATTATTTGCAAATGCAATGCACAATGTGGAGACACACTGCTACCAATTACCAAACACTGCTCATCTATCCTAAGGGAATTGATCTGGAATATCACAAGTTTTACAACAAGTTGTTAATATATAAGTAAAAGACCTTATTTGATCCTGTGGGATCAAACAGGGCTAAGCCCAGAGACTGCTGTGTGCAGCATATGCTTTCCTAAGGAAATTAGTGAAACTGCCCAGGAATGTCCGCTTTATGATTACAAGACCAAGTGCTAAAAGCATACGCCTCTTCTTCCACGGCTGTTAAGCTTGGTGGGTGATTTTTTTGGCGTCCATCTCCTTGTGAGACTGTGTTTTGTAAAATCTCGTTTATGAGAAAACCATTTTAAAATGGTGAAGGCTGTCTGGGAATTTTACCCATTACACCTCCCAACAAGTGCTCCTTCATTCTCCGTACTTCGTGGTGCCTGCTGGCTCTGTTACCAAAACTCCAGGTATCCCACAAGAAGACAGTTATGAAACACCACATGCCCTAACAAATGTCCATCCTTTTGCGACTGTCCCGAGAGAAGGAAGTTCCCTTCCTTAGGCGAGAATGCCCGAAGAAGCGCGGGCTGCAGCCTCAGAAGCTGGTGGTGTAGTCGTGCCTTGTGCTGGTCTCTGTGTAGCCCCCAGCGTCCTTTGTTCCCGTGAGAGCCCTTTGTGCAGCTCGCTGTGGCAGCAGCAGCCTGCAGGCTGCCGCCCTGTACTTCTTGGAAACGAGGTTGTAGAGGACAGGGTTGATGGATGCGCTCAGGTAGAAAAGCTGCAGGGCGAATATATTAAAGTACTGGGAGAACAGCATCGTCCTCATGTCCCGGGTGTTGATAAATATGATCCTGCCAATGTGGAAAGGCAACCAGCAAATTACAAAGGCCAGAACCACCACAGCTATAAGACAAAATAACACATGCGGCAGTTAAGGAGTGAGTTAACTTTTCAACCATCCAGTAAACTAAACTTCACGTGGCTGATTCTGCAGGTTCTTCTAACTGATAGAAATGATATACAGAAATAATGGCATTAAATTGTTGGAAAAACCATGAAAATGGGAATAGCATCAAGTCTGACTGTTAGTCTTTGAAGTAAAAGGTAAAATTTTAAGCTAAAATGTGAGATGAAGTTTGCTGAGAAAAATGGGAACAACAGTGGAGTAACATCTGTATAAAAATATCAGGCACTACAGAAATCGCCCCTGGTTATGTCTGTAATGCCACATATGAGACAGGAAAACAAAAGTCAGAATGAGGAGTTTTTGTGGAAGCTCCACAGAAGCTCCAATTGCTGCAGAGCTGTTGTTTAACTTGCCTGCATCACCGAAAAAGACCCGGGCTGCACCTCAGTCACCCAAGCTCCCACAGCATTTGCTCTATTGTGACGGGATAGTTTCTAACATAAAGACTTCAAAGTGTAGTTGAGCTATTGATTTTTTTCCACTAAAGCTTTTTCATGCATCCCCAGAGCATTACTTCTGGAGACAGCTATTTGCCTGGATGGATCTCTAGCCTGAGTCACTTCAGCTGTTCGCCTGGTCCTGTGCTGCATTTTAGGACAATGAGAACAAATACAAACCCTCTTGCGATGGCAGCACAGCAGGAGCAGATGAGGAACAATTACATAAGTGTATTGTTGTATCCTTACTTTTAATTATTTTTGTTTATAAATGCATGTAACTAAAACAATCATTTGCAGAGCATCCTCCGCGTTTCTCACAGCTTAAATAAAAGGGATGCAGCCAAAGAAAGTTTTGTTCTGAAAAACACCACACATGTAGCGGTGCAGGATCTTTGAGATAAGGGGGCACTGGTCTCATTCAGTGCGTTCTGAGATCATGGATATGGGTGTTTCTGTTGGAAAACCTTGTGCCTACTTCAGTGTAAGTACCTTTTGGTGAAATTCTCTCAGGTTTATTAGTTTCTTTCCTTTGTGCTATGCTATTTCCATCCAGCTGATTACACTCAGTAAAAGAAGTCTCCCATGTGACATGTAAAAACTACACTAAAGGTAGGCAATAATAATAATTGAGGCATTTTGTTTTATGTTCCATAGTCTATAGCTGGATTTCTTTTTTCTTTCCCTTCAGATTGGTCACTACTTACAAACATTGAACCCCCAAAGCAGACTAAGAACTCTAACTTTCCAGAGTCTGATGCTGGGTTACTGAATGTATGACTAGGAAAGTGAACTAAAATTTATCAGCATCCTACACCTGTAGGAAGTGCTTTGGTATTATGGGATTTGTCTCCAAATAGCTCGTAGGGGCTAAGTTACTGTTTTTCAGCTTCCTTGCACACTCAGTGGATTTACTCCTTGGAGAGCTACAAATGACCACTAAGAACTTAGTTTTCAGAAGCAGAAATTTTCTATGCAGAGGTGTTGCTGCCAACTGGAAGAGACTGATGATGTTACCACAGTTTTTCTGAAATTGCAGGATGGTAGCCTGTACTTGATTCTGCCTGGTAAAACTCAGGAATCGAGTATTTCTATGGAAGGCAGTCCTGCTGATGGATGTGCAACGCCACGCGGGTGAAGCCTCAGTCGGGAGGGAGTGAAATCCCTGCCGCGGCATTCCCGGGAGCGTGGCTGGGATGTCCCCCTGTGCTATTCCCTATCCTGAACGGGAGCTTCAGCCCTGCCATGGCCCCTCAGCCCCGGTCCTTGCCCCAGCCACAGCCCGGGGGGATGGCAGCGGGACTCACCCAAGATCCTGACAGTCTGGCGGTGCCCCTTCTCCCGGAGCAGCGAGCTGGGGCCCCGCAGGCGGGTGTTGCTCCGCCACAGCTCGCGGCCAATGCAGCCGTAGAGGACGCTGAGGCAGGTGACGGGCAGCACGAAGTAGCAGGTGGTGACCCAGAACATGGTGGCCAGCAGGCCGGACTGCAGCGCCTGCGGGGTGGGCTTGCACTCGCGGCTGAAGTCAGTGTGGTTGTCGGGCTGCTCCACGCCGACCAGGAAGAAGAAGGGGCTTGCGGAGAGCAAGGCGAAGGCCCAAAGGACGCCGATGATGGCTTTCACCCGGCGCTTGGTGACGACCACCTTGGCCTTGAGGGGGAAGCAGATAGCGAGGTAGCGCTCCACGGTGAGGGCGGTGATGTGCAGGATGGTGCAGTAGGTGCAGCCCTCGCTCAGGTAGTGCGAGAGGCGGCACAGCAGCTGCCCGAAGATCCAGGGTCGGGAGCGCCACAGGCGGTAGAGGTCGAAGGGCAGCCCCATGAGGATGAGCAGGTCCGAGACGGCCATGCTGCCCAGGTAGAGGTTGGTGGTGGTCTTCATGTCGCGGTAGCTGCGGATGACCAGCACCGTGAGGACATTGCCCGCCACGCCGACCACGAAGAGCCCCAGGCAGACGGCCGTGATGGGAACGAGCACCCACATGGGCAGCGCCAGGCACAGCCGCTCGTCGCAGGGCGGCCACGGCCACGGCCACTCGGGCTCGCCCTCGCTGCCGTTCCCGCCGCCGCCGCCGCGCCGCATCCCGCCGGGGCCCCGCCGTGCCCGGGGCAGCGCCGCTCCTTCCTCGGGCCCGCCCCGCCCCGCCCGCGGCTGCCCCGCCCGCGCAGGTACCGCGCCCCCAGCCCGCCCCGCGGAACCGGCGCTCAGCCAGCCAGGGAGGGGAGGAGGGACGGGAGAGGGGCGGCCGCGGTGCGCGCACAGGACTGACCACCAGCAGCGAAAAAGAAGGTACTTTTATTGTCCACAGACTCTTAAAGATACTTTGCTACATCGTTTTATGTATTTTCTATCAGACTATACAGGTTCGTCTTCATGGAGCCCGACGTTGTACAACCGTAAAGTGATATGTTTGGTAGTGTATCTATAGCGTTTTAAAAACTTTAGAGTTTCTCTTTTTCTTTTATTTATTTATTAATTTTTGGAATGTACAGTATATGAGGTAAAATTAAGATTACATTAAAAACTGTCTTCAATGCAGTAATATGCACTGAGGCTCAAATGGCAAATACACTATTAAATGACTATCAAAAATAGGAGCTCATTTGAATTTTACTATGAAAAACGTAAGTCACTGCAGGCTGCCTGCAGTAACAAATCTTACCGTTTTAGACATTCAACCATAAGAAATCTCTGGGCTGTGACACGCAACCTCATTTGCACTGCCAAACATGGCACTTTTAAGAAGGTTCTAGAAAACATCAGTTATCGCGGTATCCTGCGGGAAGGTATCAGCCTATACGTACAAATGACAAATTAGAAATAAAATGTAAACATACAGTACATTTTAAAGACAGATCGTTCTTGCCACGTGGAGGCCAAGTTCTTTGCCATTTCTTCTTTTTTTTCTTTAAAAAAAACGAAACTCAGCAACATTATTCTACAGCACAGATCATTGGACGTATAAACAATTACAATACATGCCCGTTCTAATATAAGAGAAATTCTTCAGAGATCTTCAAAGCACAAGACAGAGGTTCCTTTTTTTATTATTATTAAGACTGACAGAAGTGTTTAATACTATTAAAAATGCTAAACGGAACACAACTAGAAGTCATTAATGATCCACTATCTTGTAACTCAAATAAATTAAAAGTAGCTAATTACAAAGTGTATAACAAATAACATAAGTGTGATGAGACAAGGATTTTTTTTAAAGATAGTTTCACTACAAGCTTTGTGTCACTGGCAATCATTGACATCTAGCAAGATGTTCAATGGGATACTTGTTAAAATTCAGTCTGGTCATTCAAGAACTCACAAATGCAAGCTCACAAAACATTGATGAGTTATGCAATTGCAAAGTGCTCTAATGCAACATTAACTACATGCAACCAACAATTTGGTACAGTATCCAAAGAGACATTACATTAAACATTAGGATCTCAAGAAAAAAGCAGCTTTAAGTTTTCTGGTGCAAATTACTACACTTCGTCTTCTGATTTGGTGCCCCAAAGAAAGAGAGAAGAAAAGAAAAAAAGGAAGGGGAAAAAAGAGAAAGAAAGATAGAAACAAAACAAACAAAAAAAGGCAGTGCTTATTTCTGGTGGATATGGCAAGTGAATGTTGGGGAAACAGCAAAAATTCAATAATGAATTTTATCTCAAAATTCTGTTGACTAGCCAAAATCAGAGGGCACAGACATCTGTATAAACTGCATCCAATCAAAGGTCAACTTTGGAAATGTGTTTTCCAATTTAAATAACAAATCTAAGAAGTTCTCTCACACTCTCCCTTCTATATTCAGAAGAAGTAAAAGAGGCATTTTTTTAAGTAAACACCAAATCCTGGGGGTAAGATAAACCACTTGTGCCATCTCCTTGTAGTCTTTCGAAAACATCTACTTGCAGTGAAGAACTCCACATTTATCAGATAAGAAGCTTCCTTCATGCATACTCTTCCATCCAGTTTATTATTTGCTGCCTGAGAAAAGCCCCTTCTGTTTTTCAGCATAAATCCTGCTTCCCAAATAATTAAGACAAATGAGGAGGTAGAAATACAGCGCTAAATTGCTTTCACAGCATCAGATTAATATTGTGTACAGCACAAGTTTGTTAGTGTAAGTTTTAAATGCGATCTACACATTCTTCCCTGTTATGTTAGCAACCCTTAGAAGTGTGGGCCAGGAAATCACCTTTACACTTGTGTTTACTGGTCAAACCCTTTTCCTTAAACACTGCGTGCCTGCCCCATATCGAGTTTGTACTGCATGAAGGCATATAAAGAAAAGATTATATTTCTGTGGCTTGCATTTTAATAACATGTGTCAGCCTATACCTACGAGTAAGCATATTAAAGTGGCTGAGAAAGTTTGCATCAGTCCCAATGCCGGTGCAAAATGCCTGGTTTTGTAAAAGCAAGAGAACAGAATTACTTTTAGATTATGAGAAAGTAAAATGTAATGGGCAGCATTATAAAATAGATCTCTTTTCTTCACTTTATGACGAAGTACTGAATGATAACAGCAATCAGAATGGAAAAGATAGCAAAAAGTGCAAGGATGACAGCAGCACACACTTGGTCGCTCTGTGACCATTGTGTCCTTGTGGTTTGCACAGTGTCCTTGTTGGTGCTTGCTGGAGGCTCAGTCCTCTGAGAGATGAATAGCACTGGGGCGCTGTAGGGGCCCACCAGGTCCTGGTGAGCCGTGGCCTCTTGGCACTGGCGAATGGCACACGCGCGGAATCGGTATTCACAGTTCAGCTGCAGGCCTGTGTATCGGAACGACCAGTCCGGGCCCTTGTAAATCTGAAAATAAGGGGGGAAAAGGGACACTTCAATTAAAAAAGTACTGTATACACACGTGTATCTTAGTATGGTTTTGTTTATGAAGGTGAAGGTAACTAAAAGGGATGACAACTCACCAGTGTTTTCACCCATGCAAAGAAAAATGGACAAAAAGCTCAAACACACAATTTAAATACCAGATAAAGTCTCCAGTTATTTTGGTGAAACACAAGAACTATGCTTGCTTGTGTGGAGTGATGAGTACACATCAAATAAAGTCTGTCACAAGCCCCAGCCTTCAGGTGTTTTAGTGACCACTCACAATGTGATGCAATATACAATATTGTATCATGGGATTTTAGGCAGTTAACTCCATGTCAAGCCAATTCATTACGTCTAATCCAACCCAATGTACTTTGTTGTAGTTATCTGTATTTAAAATATTATGATTTAACACTGGATCAGGAAAGCCACAGAGTCCTCTTTGTGATTTTTAATTTCATCATATTTCCAAGACAGAGATAACTTGTGAGGGTGCTTTTCAGAAGTGTCTCAGTTGGCAAGTTAACATGAGTTCACAATGCTTCTGCATGGAATCCCTATTTTAGTGAAATCTAAACTCCAGTTTCTCAAATTAATTAAATTTGCAGCTATGTAAAGGTTCTGTGAAAGCCAACAAAACCTCACAGGGGTGCAGTTATAGCTACTTCAATAGTTAGGGAGGATGTGTGAGCAGCACAGTGCAATTTGATTTCTCTCTTTAAACCCCTTCACCCTCCCACCTCCAAATATCTGAATTTGCTTTATTTAACTGGAAGCACGATACAGAAATATCACATCATCAGGAGCTTTCCCTACAGTTACCATACTGTTAGACAGTATCCTGAAAATGCACGCTAGAAATGTAAAGAAACAGGAAATCCCTTCTGATTCTGCTGTTTGAAGAGCTCTTGCTGTGCCTGAGGCACAGAGTTCTCTGACAAGCTGAGCTTTACTGAAATCTACAACCTAGAGCCTTTTCTCTCTGAGGCAGGGCAGGCCATCAGAAGTGCAGCTTCCTCAAAATTCTGCTCATGTGGCTCATGCATTTGGGAGTGAGCAAACAGGCCACTGACACACACCCTACTCCAGCTCCAGCTATGCCAGCCAGCAGGGGTTACCATCCTCAGCTGCTTGTCCCCAGTGCCTTGCCAGAAGTTGCCTTCCCCTCCAGTGTGTTTCCTGGGCTATTTATACGGTTGCTTCCTAACCCCTTTAAGATCTTTGACTGATGTATACAGCTCAAATAGCACATTATTAACTTATTTTGTCTGTAGCATGGAGGGAGCAGTGACAGGAGCAATTTGGATGACAGATCAGGAAGAAGGAGGAGAGGACAGTGAAGTTTTGGCAGTGAAATAGCAGGGAACAGCTTAGAGCAGACTTCCAGGCAGCTTATTTCTTGTCTGTGTCAAATAAAATTGCCACCATCATGTCTAAGTGTCTTAAAGGCTATTTTCATACTGTTTACTTCTTGATTGTTCCAATTTTAGTTTCTGCAAATTAGTCTTTTCATTTTATTCTAATTTATTATGATAGACTGCTCTGCAGAGGCAAAAACAATCACACACCTCAGCCTACTCTGTTACTGCCATATTCAAAGAGCCAACTTCATTATCTTGCCCAGGCCATTTGGCAACACACACTGATAATCAAAGTGTGATTTGACTTGGTGTCTAAGGGCAACACTGACCTCACCTCAGGTACCTAATGTTGCATTTACTATGTGGAAGTTACAAAAAAGACTATCCACATGGCAAGACATCTGGGTTTATGGTTCATCTTTTACTGAAAAATTTCACAAATGGCCATAATAAACACAGTGTTGCACTAAAAGTTATGAAAATATTAAGGCCTGTAATCTGCCAAAACACAGGTGAAATTATTATTTTATTTATCATTATATTATATTTAATTTAATTATTAATTAAATTAAATATAATAATAAATAAATGAAATAAATTAAAATAAAGAAATAATAATTTAATTTAATTAATACTTATTTAATTATTATTTAATATTGAACTATAATAAAATGATAACATACTACAATTAACTGTTTCTGTCCTGGAAGGAAAGTTCCTTAGCTTAATATGAAACAGTTTTCAAGCCTAATTTCATGTCAAATATCAGGCAGTTTAAACTGTGAAGCAAAAAAAACTCAAACTGGGAAGCAAAATTAACACTGAATGCAGGATAATTTGTACCTTGGCATTTCAAACTGCTCCTTTACTCTTAGTGTAAAGAGAACCCTTCAC